ATTATTATTGGATCGGGCTGCACGTCGCAGCAGTATATATATATACGGATCGGGCTGCACGCCGCAGCGGTGTTATACTGATACTGGTATGAGGCCAAGGGCCTAGATTTGATGCCACGAGATGGCTTGATATTGCGATTGGGCCGTAAGGGTCCCCTCCCGGAGTCTGCACGCCCCCAGTGAGCGCCGTCGACGATAAATGGATCGGGCTGCACGCCGCAGCGGTACTAGTATTGTTCTATGTGTTTACTTTATTTCATTTGTCTGCCATTATCTGTTGTCCGTGTTACTTCACAGGGTATCTACCTGATTGCCTGGCATTATCTGTTGAGTGAGTGTTGTGCCCGAGAGGCGGATATCTGTGCTTATCTGCACTAATTGTTTTGCGTTTATTCGCATAACCGTTGAAAAAGTCATTTTCAAAAGAGGTTTGAACTGAGCTAAGATGTTTTCTAAAGATTTCACAGCTTCACTGCTTTTTCTCAAGGGGTTTTATAGTGCTTCTATACAGCATGATGATTTGCCTTACGTGATTTCTTACTCCTCAGTTATTATTTACCTTTATTACTCACTGAGTTGGAGTACTCACTTTACTCCCTGCACCTCGTGTGCAGATGCAGGTATTTGTTCACCCGGTAGCGGGTTTGAGTTGATCGGAGGCTAAGTTTATCGGAGTTTAGCAAGGTGACTGCTAGCGTTCGCAGCACCGCATTTCTTCCTTATGTTTATCAGTCCTCTTTTGTATATTTTAGGCCTTGTAGTTGTATTTATATTCTGATAGATGTTCGTGACTTGTGACACCCCGGTTTGGGCTATGTTTGGGTTGTATTCCGCACTTGATAAAGAAATCTTTGTTTAGACTGTGATTATTTAATTATGCTAAAACTGTTATTTAATATTTAACTATTCTGAAAAGGGCAAAATGGGTTAGTTGGCTGGCCTTGTCTTCACGAGAGGCGTCATCACGATCGGATCGGGGTTTGGGTCGTGACGAGAAGCGTCATGAAGTGTGTTCGAATATAAATTTCAATTGGAAAATTTATGACTTCCAGTATTCCACTTGAAATATACATTCAAATCTCATATTATTTTCCGTGTCTATTATACCACCCTTGAGATACATTGACAATTTTACACTTATTTATGTCTTAAGGTATATTTTTTCTTGATTGAATATTTTTTCTATTTATGTATCATCTCATCTTCAAGATCAATTACTACTAAGGGTAAAATGAGAAAAAAATAAGTAACTATGTCTTGGACTTCTAAAATGACAAATAATTTAGAACTAACTATTTTCAAAAATTACGACCCATAATTTGAGACAGAGGAATAGTATTTAATTTTTTTCACTTTATATTTCACTTGAAAGTTGAAACTCAAAAGTTCATAGCTAAACAAGTGCTCGCAAGTAGTGTACTGAAATATTGTGGCTAAACATGTACATTAGATTTAAAAATAAAAAAAATAAAAAGTAACGTGCTGTTAATCATCATAATGGAAATAAATATTACTACTGCTACTACTGCCAATTAAAAAAAATGTTTTTTTTTTTTTACTTCTAAAACTTAAAAGCTACCTAGCTCATCATCAATTTCTAAAGCAAAAGCATTTCCTAGTTATAAAATGAAGCTTCTGAAAAGAAAAAGAGAAAAAGTGAAAGGTATATAAAGCAAAAACCAACAGTAAGATTCTCTTTAATCAGCACAAACACTTTCCTAATGCTATAGTCTTCCTTAACTATACAAATCTTGGTACAGAATATCAATCTCAACACCTTCAAGCAATTTAGTCTCATATGGCCATTTCATTAGCAAAAAATTGGACATCAACTCTGTCCATCTTAACAATTTTTCTTATACTTCAATTTCTGATCATCACAGAAGCTCAATCAAGAATCTGCAGAAATTCTTGTGGTGATATCCCAATTCAGTACCCTTTTGGCATTGATGATGGCTGTGGCAGTCCATACTATAGGCATATTCTTGTTTGTACAGGTGGTCAACTTCAACTTAGAACTCCTTCTGGTAGATATCCTGTTAGGAATTTAAGCTATAGTGATCCACATATTCTTGTAACTGACCCCTTAATGTGGAATTGCCTAGACGGTGACAATTTTCGACCAACTAGGCCATTTAGTCTAGATACTAGCACACATTTCACTTTATCTCCTGAAAATGACTACTTGTTCTTCAACTGTAGTGAAAGTGATGTGATAGTTGAGCCAAAACCAATGTTCTGCGAGCGTTTTCCTGATCAGTGTGATTCAACGTGTGATAGTTCGAGTTATCTTTGTAGGCACATGCCTGAATGTCCTTCTGCATTGAGGAGTAGCTCTTGTTGTTCTTACTATCCCAAAGCTACTGAATCTTTGAGGCTAATGTTGAAGCATTGTGCTAGCTATACTAGTGTGTATTGGAGGAATCTTGGTTCAACGCCCGCGTTTGATCAGGCCCCTGAGTATGGAATTAGAGTTGATTTTGATATTCCAGTGACTACGCGATGCCTGCAGTGTCAAGATACTGCTAAGGGAGGGGGAACTTGTGGCTTTGATACAGAAACACAGGATTTTATGTGCTTGTGTGACAAAGGGAACAGTACCACCTACTGTAATGGTATGTCTGAAGGATTTAAGTTATATACACTCGGTATAATTTAACATGTTAGAGTAAGTTATTCATCGAATCTTATTAAATAAAGTTACTGGCAATTACCATTGTGTAAATATGTTTTGTACTATCAATCCATAGAACTTAAACTCATGTCCTGAAATGTCTGTAGTATCTTAAAAATGCTGTCTATTTTCTATTTTTGTCATCACTGCTTGATTTTCAAAATGCATCAGTACGAGAGGATTGTTTATTAACTATGTTAAGGTAAATCTTGGTTAAGTATATACTGCTCAAGTTGATTTATTTTTAACGATTTGCAGATCGCACGAGCTCTCACAGAAGAGGAGTTGTTGCAGGTACTCATAAGATTTTATTGATCTATGACCAATTAGTTTGCTAAGAGATTTCAACTACATATATTTCTTTTTTTTCCTTTCTGAGGTTTCTTATACAAAATCTATTTGAAATGTTGCAGGAACAGCAACTGCAGTTTCAGTTGCAGGGGCATTTGGAATAGGAGCTGGTGTATGGTACTTGAAGAAACTCAGAGCCAAAGCACCAGTAACTCATGGCGTTCAAACCAATGAGAATAGACTTTTCTGAGAGCATCTTTTGAAGTAAAAAAGAAATTGCTGTATTTCTTCTTTTCTTTACCATTTTTCAAGTTTTTTTTTTTCCTTCTCTCTTTTAATTTTCTTATATAGCATAATCTTGCACTTTAACTGGTTCTGTTTGTAAGTTAAAGGAACCAACTTTTTGGTCTTGCATGTTTGGCATTGCTTGTATGTGGAGTAAGGAATGTCTTCGGGAAAACTCTGCTGCTCTGCACCTTGAGGTCATGTTTGTTACACAATAGCCGGACAAATTCACTAATTATTTTTTTCTAGCCGGTGTACATTGATTATACGTAGTTATACATGAGTTAAACATATATTATATAACTGCCTGCTATTTTTAGTTCAAGAGATTAGGTGAGCGGCTATTTGGGTTATTTTTTCTTTTCCTATGTGAACCAAATTCGGGTCTAAGTAGAGATTCCAAGATTACCCAAAACCAGTTAAGTTGGTTGATTGTATAGTTCATATATTTGGTTATCTCTGATGTCCAGTTTTGAGCTTGAACTTTTGCTGCAATCTGTACTCATTCTAGCAGAGATAATGAAGATGATAGAAGCATATACTACTCAACAAGCGATACTAAAGTTACTCCTTTGATGTTATATTACACCCTTCTAAAATCCATTGTCATTCTCAACAGAATAAACTTTGTACTATGAACTATGAAGAATACAACTTTCTCCATATCTCAAAGAAACTAAAACTCCAAAAGCATGAATCTTTCTTGAACTTCCTACAGTATACGCGAAGTATAAATTTAACTTTGAGGCATTAAAAATGCTGCCAAAGATATACAGGTTATGCAGGTGATAGGAAAAGGAAAGAAGAAATTTTTTGTATGATTAGCAAGGTTCATTGACAACACATTGAAGAGGACCAGCATCAGAAGTTAAAGAGGGAGTTAACGATCCTTGAGAAACAATAAACGATTGTCCTCTTGTGTATTTTGGAGCAATACTTCCATATCCAGATGGACTAAAATATGCTCCATTCACAAACACATCTTTTGAGGACCTCCATTTCCAACTCTTCCATCCCCCTTCATGAGTTTCCCTCTTGGTGACCTGTAATATATATCATCATGACTAATATAAGAACATCTATATATAGCAATGGCAATGACATTAGTCTAAGTTGTTTTTTCGTCGCTAATTTCTAAATTTGTGGTTCCTTCAAACTGGAAAAGGAATGAAGAAAGTGAAAATATCTGATCTTCTGGACACTGAAGAACAAGTAGCTTGATATTTGCATACCTCTTTGTCATATGAGTCTGGAGCAATGAAATAATTTCCCTCACTGAATATTGTTGGATCTGCACTCCCACCAATGGCATACATTAACCATTGATCATAATAATTATTAGCCACATGAGCATAACCATGCCTAACCCTGTAACACAAATTATTGTCAAATGTTGCATTATCTTAAATTATTGTCATACTTGGTCCAACTGCATAATCTATTCACAGCTGTTTCAAAGTATTGTGTGATTAATCTTGGATAATCTTAATTAGGTACCTTGGCATTCTTTGAACTAGTTCACGGCCAAAATGGTTGAAAACTACCGTGACTTTCATGCTTTTGTCTGCAGTATATTCATCATTGTGCCCCAACAACATAACCTGGATATTTGATTTAAGGTCAGAATTAAAAAGATCACTACATATTTCTGTCAAAGGCAGAACCAAGATTTTAATTCAGTAGTTATTTTACAACTAATTCAATCAACCATACCTCAATTTCAAGTCAGTTGGGGTGCAAACTTAGCATAAATGTACATATTAAAAAAAAAATCCAACTACATATATATAGTTTGACTCGAAAGCAGTAATGTGCATTGAGAAAGTTGGAGACTTACTTTGTCATGTTCAGTGAAGTAATTGTTCGATATAGTTACTGCAGTTGAAGCATGAATAACATCGAGTAGACCATCCGTTGCACGAGCAAGATAACAATGATCAATCCAAACATTCGACGATCCAAACACACTTATGGCATCACCATCAGAGCCTGATCTTTCACCAACATGTTCAGGACTACTACGAACCATCCCTTTTTTACTAGGCTTACAATCATGAATACTAATCCCATGAATAATAACATTTGTAACATAGTCCAATGTAATGCATGGACCATTAGAAATCTCAATTTTGGCACCTCTTCCATCTATAGTCTTGTGACTATTGACCATAAGCTCATTCTTAAGTGTAAGTACCATATCCTTTTTGAAAATGATCCAAAGTGGCTCGGACTGAATTGCACCATACCTAAGAGTGCCTGGTTCAGGATTTGCAGGATCATCAGAAGGGTCAGTGACCACGTAAATGTCACCATATTTACCTCCTACAGCATTACTCCCAAAGCCTATAGCACAATCTGCTAAAGCCTTGCGATTGGATGACCAATCGTGGTTCAATCTCCAGCACGAATCGATGACATTAAGGAGGTTTTTGTGAGGCTGAGCATAATAACTTGGAAGATAATCATCTACAGCTTTAGTTTCATGTTCATCACTTGATTTACTAGCTACTATTGTAGAAACTGAACATATTATTAGAAGCCATGAAAGTAGTTGGAGGGAAGTTAACTTTGCCATGGCTTATGGGATACAACGAGAAGCACAAAAATGAAATTTAAATAGTCTGTAGTAGAAGTGGTTTGCATGTTGGAAATATATGTCAATTTCAACTAGCTGTTTGGTGAGATTTTGGGAACTTAATCATAAACGTGAGAGCACGAAATACAAAATATAAAAGATACGTTGAACTATTTGAGTAAGCATTGCCTAGGTGCAAATATTAGCATCATAATCATTGACCGAAGAAAGAATAAATTATCCCAAGTTTGAGCTTTGTGACTTCTAAAGTGAGACACGTATTTTCTAAAACGTTAACTGATGTACTGGAAAATCAGGATCATTGTTTAATAAATTGGAATATCCTATACAGTACATTATTTAATATTCATGAAACCAAGACCTTGCCACGTAACAATATTTCCACTCTCACATAGTGGTAGCGCTTAACATGAATAAAACTAGGTCACATTTTTTTTCCTCTTTCTTTTATTTTTGTTGATAAAAATGGTGTCAGGCCAATTTATGCACACCTCGACACGTGTCCGGTTTAGGATTTAAGGGGTCATATGGTACTATCATTTAGAATGTAAATGTGACCATTTTCGGTTCCCATGGCATGCATCACTTACCGAAGCCTTTTGCACATTTTGCTGAGACTTGGCGATTGTTAGCGCATTTGGAGCGTAATTGCCAGCAATTCGATAACTTTAGTCATTTATAATTGCATTAATCTTAATTGCCATGTGTAAGTAGATATTGGTGTCATTTCGTATTTAATTATTCCACTGGTTGGTTTTAGTTACGTCAGCTTTAATTTGCTTGCTTCGATCTTATAGTGGAATCTCTTTTCTAAATTTATTTCAATTTTGGAGAATAATCAGAGAAATTAGTTAAATTTGGGCGACTGCTTTTGTTAAATGTTTTACCTTCTTAAATGTAGAACGATTTTTATTGACAAACTAATTCGCGGAAAATGCTCAGGGAAAGCAAAAATTCCTAAATAATTTGATCTAAACAGCTTGAAGAAGATGAGAAGATAGATTTTCTAAGAAGATTTAATGTAAATAGTCGTTAACTCAACTGCTTAAATTAAAAATAGCCGGCGTATGTATAATATAAGTATAATTCATATATAATATATGTATTATTGTATATAATCAGTACATAATTGATGATAGGCTATAATTGCATATTTTAGTCGCTTATTACACTCGAATTTACTGCACTTTAATTGAGTTTGCGCTTTAATCGCTAGTGTTTTGCACTAATTGTGTGTTTTATGCCTTGTAGGTGTGATTCCGAGCTATATAGATGTTATGGAATAAATTTAAGTGATTTGAAGCTTTGAATTCTGAGTAAAAGCTCAAGGAATTAAGCCGGGATCGTGTTCGGGGGTCAAATTTGATAATTAAGTACGAACGAAGACTTGAGAAGGCATATTGCGCACTGTCTAGTAAAATAGACATAACTTTTTGCTCAGAACTCCATTTGGGCTCCACATATATGGTTGGAAAGCTAACTCAAAGGGCTACAACTTTCATGTTTTATGTTTTTCCAAATTTCAAACGGAATAGGGTGAAAAACCGCTGTTTTGCCGCGACCGCGGCAGAACCGCGGTAGAAGATGGTCGCGGACAACTGAAGAATCAGAGGGCATGTTTGGCCGCGGTTCCACCGCGACCGCGGCAAAACCACGGCAGGAAGCGAAAATTTCAGGGACTAAAGTGCAAAATATGGGATTTTAAGTCCTAAACCCTATATTAAACAAAGGAGGCCGGCCAAGAACAATAGGAGGACATATTTTGGACACAAATTAGACCTAAGGAGGCGGAGAGACACTGCTTTAGGGTTAGACAACACCCTTGGAGGCAAGAACACATTGGGAGCAAGGCGGAGAATTCTTCTACGAGTTTTTTCCTTCCTCTTCCTATTTTTCATTGTTGGTTATGACTTTTAGTATTGTAGTTTTACATACTATTATGAATAGCTAATTTGTTATCTAGAGTTTGATAGAACCTTTTGTAGGATAAATTCTTGTTATGTTTTTATATAATTGAGCCATAGCTTTTCTCTATTTGTTTAACTACGTTTATATTCTGGTTGATTGAAGAGCTCTCAATTAGTTGTGCCTATTTAGTATGCATAACTCGGGAGAGAGTGCATATTTAGGTAATTGTTGAACAACACCACTCCTAGAGTATATGAGGGATCAATAACCGAGGGTTTAAAGGTGGGATTAGGGATAACGAAGCCTTGGGTGCGATCTGAAGTGAGCTGTATTAAAAGCTAGCTAGCGTAGCTCGGAAGAGTGCGTCTAGTAAATTATCGTAATTACTCGGGAGAGATTTACGGTAATAAGAGTGCTCATGATCGGTAGAGAATACTTATGCGAAATTATAGAAGACATAGCGGGAAGGATTCCGACAATAGGGGAAATCATAACTCTAGACCTCCTTAATCTTTTCTCTAACCCTCAGTATCGTTAGTTGTTAATTTACTATTTTAATTTGTTAGTTAATTAGTTAAACACAAGAATCTTAATATCTATAAGTTAGAAATTGTTCAAGCTTGTCTTCTTGGTGATAGTGAACAGCTGTAGCTAAACCTTAGTTCTCTGTGGGATTCGACTCCGGA